CATGGCTGACCCCGGCTCCTGCTCACCCTATAGATGTCGCCCTCCGGCCGCCTGTATCTCCTCACCATTGTGGGCCTGATTCTCCCCACCAGAGGTAAGGCCCAGCCCTTGTCTCCACCCTGCTCCGGAGCCCCCAGCCCTACCTCGAGGGCCCGGCTGGGTGGGCAGCTAGTGGGTTTGGATGTCCTATCCTGTGTCCTCACCTCCTACTGAGCTGGCACCAGGAAGTGGGGGTCCCAACGAAGGGGCCAAGATTACATTCCTTTTGGACACCTCAGACCTGGGTGGCTGCTTCCAAGTCTGGCCAGAGCCTGTCCTGCTGAGCAGCCTCCATTTCACCTCCCAGAAGAACTGAGTTTGATTTGGCGAGGAGATGGGTGTCGGTTTTCTACTCAGCAGCCAGGAGCCCTGGGCTCCCAGCAGAGCAGCTCGCTGGATGCCCGGGTGATGCACAATTAGGCAAAGGGGGTGAGCCAGGGCCAGTCCAAGAGCTGGAGATGTCTCCCCTTTGCCTGGAAGTGCTTTCTGAAGGCAGCAGCTATGGTGGCATTGGCAGGTGCGTTCTGCATAGCAGTGTGTGGAGCTGGCCTTCAGCTTTACTGTATTATATTATACGTGTTGCCCTGCCTGTTTCACAATGAAGAAATAGACTCGGCAAAGGGAAGTGTCTGTGCCAGAGGCTAATGAGTGGAGGGGCTGGGCCCAGTCATGCTGTCTGTCCCAGAACCCAGAGCACACTCTCCACTCACTGCCGCAGCTCTCTTGGATACAATGGTTTTCGTGTATTTCATCAGTCATGCAACAAGTATTCGTTGAGCAGCTACTATATGCCAGATCTTATTGCATGCACTGTGGAAACAGCAGTGTATAAAACAGGGGCTCACATTCTATTTGGGAAAGACAGAAACCCATTGGTAAATTACATAGTATTCTAGAAGGTGATACGTGTTATGGAGAAAAATAGAGGACAGGAATGAGGATTGTTTGAATAAGGTGTTCAGGGAAGACCTTACTAGGAGGTGACATTTGGGCAGACACTTGACGGAGGTGAGGGAATGAGCCAAGCAGGTATCGGGGGGAATGAGTGAGTCTGGTGAGGAACAGCAGGTAGGCCAGGTGGCTGGGTTGGGTGAACAAGGGGCAGGGTGGGAAAAGGAGAGGTTAGAGTAGTGACAGTAGGGCCAGGGCGAGGCACTGACTGCATGTTAAGCAGTGGGGGAGTTTCTTCCCCCCTCCATCTCATTTCACGCTGTCTAAGGTCTGAGAAGTCGATTCAGTCATCCCCACCTTGCAGTCAAGGCTCAGAGTGGGTGACACAGCAAGGGAATGGTTGGGAACAGCATTTGAGATGAGGGCCCTGGCTGACTCTAGTGCCTGGGCTAACCCATCTCCCCCATCCCACAAAGATGGGCAAGGAGAGGGGCTGGAGGAAGGGTGTTGGGGCATTAGCATTTCTTAAAACACTTCATGTATTGATACCACCAAAGCTGATCAATCAAAGAGCTGTCTGCTGTTCTACCAGCAGAAGGACCTCCTGAATTACAAGCCCCCAAAGGCTTCAGAAGGGAGGGTAAGTGGGGGTGTTGGTGAGAGGGACCAGAGCCTACTCCCTGGCTTCTCATCCTTGATTTCTCAGGACAGAGATCCGAGGAGGCCACATCCATTTCTCTAGCAGACTCAACCACTGTGAACATTCATGCCCTGACTCAAACCCCAGGTGAGGAACGAGGGACAGACCTGATAAGATCCTGTCATTGCAAATAACAATGGCAATACAATTCTCAAACTGGACCAAACAGGTATTTTTGAATTTGTGTAACTGAAAAATCCAGGGATAGACCTTCAGGCGTGGCTTGATCTAGGTTCTCAAATGATGCTATCAGGAACCTGTCTTCATCTCTTGGTTCTGTTTTCTCTGTGGTGGCTTCATTCTCAGGCAGAGTCTCCTCTTATAGTGCCAAGATGGCGTTCAGATACCTGGGATTTCCATCCTACCTGCTAAGAATCCGGAGGGAAGAGAATTTTCCCTTCCCCAATCCAGCAAATGTCCCAGAACTGAGTGTCATTGACCAAGCTCAGGTCACATGCCCACCCCTGAGCCTTGTGGCCACAGACGCAGAAAGCTGATTAACCAGACCTGGGTCTCATGTTCAACCTCCAACAGGGCTGGTGCCAGCCCCCACTGAATTAAGTAGGCTGAGGGTTGGGGAAGGATGGTTCCCCAAAGGAAGTTCCAGGGCTCTTACCAGAGGTGGGTGGATGCTGAGAAGGGGAATGGGAATTGGTGGGAGGGGAGGTCAGGGCCTGAGACAGGGAAGATACTGCCATTGCATTTAGGCAACAAGGAAGTGGCTGGATTAATTAAGTCATTTCCATGACATCAACATTGAGTTGCTATGGAAATACTCCTGTACCTCCATTCATGGACCCCCTCACCTCTTCTCTTTTTTCTCCCTGTTTCTGGACTTCAGATGCAGTTCATCCAGAACTCCCGTCCACCCCTCAGACTTCAACCCTGCAGGCTGGTGGTGAGTGGGGCAGCGATACGGGGGGAGGTAGGCCTGGGACCAACATTGTTTCCCCACTTTCCCTGACACTGGGTCTTTGGTTACCCATTTCAGCCCTCCCAACTCTGAATCCCCTGGTTTAATCTGTGGTTGGACAGCCAGCCAACTCATTCACTTCTTTAAAAAAAATCTTTTGGAATCTTGAAAAATAATATGCATGTAGAAAAGTACAAAAAACATAAATGTACAACTTAGCAAATCATTCTGAATTGAACCCCTGTGTAACCACCACCAGGCCAAGGAATAGTTTTGCAAACACCCCAGAAATTCCCTATGTGCCAACACCATTCACTTCTTCCTTTAATCTCTTTATCTTTTTCCCTTTTTAAAAAATTTTCAAATCATTTTTGAACTTTTTCTTGGAGTCTAACATAATTCAAAAAGTGCTCCCCAATTTTTTCTATTAATGTTTAATGATACAGGTGTATATAAACACATTCTTCTGGGAAGTAATAAAAATGTGGCAGGCAAGACGAAACCCCTTTGTTCATTCCCCATCCTTGTTGTCTCTCCCATCTCGGGGAGGCCCCCACTGTTAGCACGGGGTTGGGAGTAGTCCCCCAATGAGATTGTATCACATGTGTGTAACCTGGAGGAAATATGCTGATTGGGAGGTATATTTGTGTGAGCTTAAGGATATTATATGATTGTTTTTCTGCAACTGGCCTTTTCCTACCATGAAATAATGTTTGGAAATTCTTCCCACATTCCCGTGTAGACACTGATCTTGTCCTTTTTCACTGCTAAGTTCTCCACAGGGTACCAGTGCACAGTTAATGAATGTATGCACATCTTTTAAAAATATGTATTTTTATTGATTTTTAGAGAGAGAGGAAGGGAGAGGGAGAGAGAGAAACATCGATGTGAGAGCAGAAGATCGATTGACCGCCTCCTGCATGCCCCCAACTGGGAATCAAACCTCAGCAATCGGGTCTGTGGCCTGCCTGGGAATTGAACCGGCGACCTTTTGGTGCATGGGATGACACCCAACCAACTGAGCCACACAGGCCAGGGCTCTCTGCACATCTTGATGAGCACCTTGGTCACTTCCAGTTTTTTCTGCCACACACAGTGCCACAATGAGAAACCTTGTCCCTTTCCCTTTGATCAAACACAGCACTTATGTGACTGTTTGGGTCTAAATATTTTACCCTTGTTCACTTGTTCAATTTTCACACAATCCCTCTAAGGTAGAAATGATCATTATCCCCACCTTAGAGATAGGGGCATGGAAGCTCAGAGTAACTTGCCCAAGTTGTCACAGCATGTCAGTGACATGGCTGGGCTCAGGGTCCAGGAACCTGGCTCTAGAGCCCAGCTCTTGCCCACAATACAATGGGGCTAATGACATGAACACTAAAATTTGTTTTCAAGGCCATTTGGAAATGGCCGCATTGATTTGCCTGCCACCAGCAGTTACACGAGCCCCCCTTTCCCACTCCCACAGTGCCACTCGGCTTATGAACGTCTTTGATTTGTGTCAGCGGGACCCGGGGAAGAGGGCCCCTTGCAGTTCTGTGGATCCATGCTGCTCATTCACTTGTTTCTTGCCCTCCCCTCCCTGCTCTTCTGACCTCAGTAGAAACACCAACCCAGACGCAGCAACTGAAGGGAGAGACTGTGCTTCTAACCACAGACCCGGGGACGGATGAGAGCAGCACGGAAGGTAGAGCCTTGCACTAGAACAGGAATGTGCAAGTTTTGTTTAATTCTCTTCTAGGTCAGCTTTTCCCCAAGGATACTTCTCAGAGCACCCGTTTGGGGAGTTCTTAATACATCTTCCAAAAACATTTTTTTTGGTTTGCCCAGCCAGTGTGGCTCAGTGGGATTTTCTGTCAAAGGTGTTGGTGAAACTCTAAGATAAAGTTAATCACGTTTCTTTCTGGCAGGATTTTCCAGAGTCTCAACAAACCTTATTGCAGTGAGTGTCCCCAGAGGGGCATCTAATTTGTGACATTTTCCAAGCCTAATAGACTCAGGATGCTCTTTTGTTCAGGTTCCTTCTCAGGGCTGGGGCCGGGAAATGTGGCTATAGGTGTTTCCCTTGTGTATGTCTTCTTGTTAGAGCAGGAGCTTTTCAAGTGTAAATCACAGAAAACCCAACTAAAATAAAAGCTTATTGGCTGTATATGTTCTGTGAAGTCCAGAGGCACCACTTTCAGGCATGGTTGGATCAAGGAGCTCAAGTCATCATGACAGACTTGCTCCTTCTCTCTGTTGTCTTCATTCTCAAGTGGCTTTCTCCCTCTTGGTGGCAAAGATGGTCCCATAGTTCTAAGTGTAGGTATCAAACACAGCTAGGGCACATCTCTTTCTCATCATCTGCACCCCAAGGTCCAGAATTGACTTTCATTAGCGCAGCTGGGGTCACATGCCCATGTCTGACCAATCAGAACATGGGAAAAGGGCTACTCTGATTGGTCAGGCCTGAGTTTTGTGCCCAGACCCTTGGGCTGGAGAACCTGGTCAGCCTTGTCTGAATTGCATAGACCATGAGTCAGGGAAGAGGTGGTTCCCTTAATACCAGTGAGCAGCAAGTGTTAGCAGAGGTGTGGGGAAGGGGGCTGAGACCAGATGAAGGTGGCTTGTGTGATGCTCCATATTTGAGGAGCAGCCCCTCCTGGAAAGGACCTGTAGCTTGGGCTACTCCTTGGCTGAGATACATCCACAGTGTGCGTTTTGGGCACTGGGCAAGAGGACCACCTCTAAGGCCATGCCATTCCCTATAACAGTTTTTATAAATGTTAGTTTTCCAGTGATGGCAGTAAACTACCACATTCTTACAGAATCTGTTTATTAAAGCCATTTTATGACAGATGGAAATAAAGGGTCTTGGGGAAGGGAACATCCCCAAGTGGGGTGTAGCAACTCTTTCCACACTTCCCAATTGAGAAAATATCTCCATGTTCCTCATTCACTTGCTCTGAGTCCTTGCTGGCCCGAGTTATATGTGCTGTTCCATACTCCTGATTATGTGCTACCGAAATTCAGCTGAGCCTCAGGGCCACCCAGACCCTGAGCACGGAAGCCCCCAGTGCCTCTCTGCCTCCATCTTTGTTTCTCTTGTGCTGGAGCTTGTCTCCCTCCTTGGCTCCTGTCATCTGCTGGCTCAGAGCTGCCCAGCTTCACCTTGCTTCCAGTGAGAATCCCTTCTTGGAATTTGCAAGGTCCCAGGGAAAGGCGAGACTGGGTCACGTGCTCCCCCTTGTGGCCTGGGTTACAATTGGCAAACAAGATAGATGGCCTGAACACCTCCCACCCCCAGCCCAAGAAAGGGGAATCTGTTCCCAAAAGAATGGAGGAGTGCGTGCCAAGTAGATAATAACAGCCAACATTAGCTGAGAGTTTGCTCAGTGCTGGACCCTGTGCTAAGCTTTCATGTATTCACTCAATGCTCATAACCATCACCTTAACCCCATTTTACAGGGAAGAAACTGAGGCCCAGAGAGGTTACTCTGAAAGCCCTAGCCCACAGCCCTAAGTGGCAGAACTAGAATCTGAGCCAGGCTCTGTAGGGCCATGGTGCCTCAGCACCACACGCCACCCAGGCTGTCCCTTACATTTTCTGTCCCTGCTATTAATCTTGCCTACCTCTGTTCAAGGCTTTCCCGAACATGTCAGCATCCTTGGCTGATGGTTCATGTTTTGGGAGTGAGGAGCTTAGATTGGCCTGGGGAGCTCAGGGTTCATGAGGCAGCTTTTCTGCCTGTTGACTTCACACTGGGACATCAGACAGTAGTAGCCATTTCACTGGGACACTTCTCAGTGCCAGAGGGGCAGGTCAGGAGAAGGATCCTCTGGTATTTTTGGCCTGGGAGCAGAGGCGATATTCAAAATGTTTTATAACAAGTGCCTCCAGGCTCTGTAACTGGGTCGAGGTCCTGGGGGCACCCAGCCTGGTTATGACAGATGTTATCCTTTACTTCCTGGGTCTGGGGCCGTCCACAAAGTCCTAGGAGAGGGGTCAGGAGGTTGGAGGGAATCCTATATAATAAAAGGCCAGTGATCATAACGGCGTAATGACCAGAACAACCGATGGACCACTCGTTATGAGGTGCATTGACTACCTCTTGGTCCCTCCCTCCAGCCCTCAGGCTCCAATCGCTGGATGGCCAACAGGGAACCATGGCGGGGTGGGACCGGGGACTGGGGACTGGCGAGCGGGGCAGAACGGCCGACTTCTTGGTCTCCCCCAACCCCCTCCACATCCCGTCCAAGGCTCTGATCGCTGGATGGTGAACAGGAAACCATGGGGAACTGGGGTGGGTGGTGACTGGGGACTGGCAAGCAGGCAGAAGGCAGGCCTCTTGGTCCCTCCCTCCGGCCCGCAGGCTCTGATCACTGGATGGTGAACAGGGAACCATGGGGAACTGGGATGGGTGGCGGCAGGGCGGGACTGGGGACTGGCAAGCAGGCAGAAGGCAGACTCTTGGTCCCTCCCCCAGGCCCGCAGGCTCTGATGGCTGGATGGCAAACGGGGAACCACGGAGAACCAGGGTGGGCAGCGGCGGGGCGGGACTGGGGATTGGCGAGCGGGCGGAAGATGGCCCTGATCACAGGCTAGGCCTAGGGACCCTAACCACGCACGATTTCGTTTGCTGGGCCTCTAGTTTCAATATATTCATTATTTACTGGCTTCAGGGGTCGGAGTGGGGGACACATGTGCCTGCCCACTGCATGTGTAGGTGTGGGAAGGGGGTGTCTCACAAAGACACGTTCAGTAATGCCCCTTGTTTCCCTCCACGGCTCGCTCCTGCCCTCCACCATCTTTTGGCCACTCTCTCTGCTGATCCCACTAAAGGCACCACACTCTCCAAGCAGTCTCCAGACAAAGACTTCGCAACAGACCCTGCACACAGGCCTACTGGTCAGTAAGTCCCCAGATTGGAAACAGGCCATTTCCTACTCACTGTGTGTTCTAGCACCTGGAATACTGCCTCAGTAAACATATGTTGGGTGAATACACAACTTCAAGGCTGGCAGAGGGTGGGGACAGGATAGGCACACAATAAATAGATGAATGAATACATAAATGAATGTTGCATGCAAGCCACCCCAAAACTCTGTGACTCAAAATGACAATCATTTATTTAGTTTTTGAGAACTAAACTTGAGTCTGCAATTTGGAAGTTTAATCTGAGCTCAGTGGGTGGTTCTTCTGCTCTCACCTGGATTTATGCATCTGAGATCATTTTGGGGGGTCAGCAAGGAGCTCTGCTTCTAGAGGCACCATGATTCTTCCCCTTGTTCTTCTGTCTTCCACTTCCTGACCGGCCAGCCCCAATGAGCAGATGGAAATGATATGTCCATGAGACACATTCATTCATTCATTTATTTATTAAAAAGATATTCACCTAGTGCCAGGCACTGTTCTAGGTGCCAGGATACTGCAGTGAACAAAGCAACAAAAATCTTTGCCCTCATAGAGCAGACATTCTAGTGGAGGGAGAGAGACAAAAAAATAATAGCCATATTAATTATGTCATGTGGTTTTAAAGTTGTTATCAAGAAAAATAAAACAGGGTTAAGTTGAGAGAGTGACTGGGATTATTTCTGTAAAGGGCATGGAAGGCCTCTCTGAGGAGTTGAAGGGGACACATGAGGATATCTGGGGACGCACTCTGGGCAGAGGGAGCAGCCAGCGCCAAGGCCCTGGAGTGGTCTGGCAGGTCATGAGCAGGGCTGGAGCAGATGATGAGGGGAGAGTGAGGAGGTAAAGTTAGGGAGGTGATGGGAGCCAGATTGTGTGCCACCTGAGAACTTTAGGTTTTGTTCTAAGTGCACCAACACTGAGACACAGGTGTCCCCTCTCCCTGATCCTGTCATTTACTGTTTCACTTCACAATCTTTTGCTGAACTTCAACTTGATCTCTGTTTGTCCCCTGCAGATTCAAGTGAAGACGATCCCTTCTCCTATGGTAAGTTACCCAGGGAGGATTCAAGGGGGAGGAAGGGTTAAGGCCCTCTTACCACACCCCTCCACTTTTCTCTCTGCAGATAATTACACTCTACGGAAACATGGGCTGTTGGTCGCAGCTGTGCTGTTCATCACAGGCATTGTGATCCTCACCAGTGAGAATGGGCGTTGGATGGGAGGGGCACCAAGACTGGGAGGAAGGAGGCCTTGGCGTGGGGGTAGGCCAGGGTGGGAGTAGGTTCATGAAGGCCCCTGGGCAAGGCGAATTTAAATGAGGCATATCTCTTAGCTTCATAGCCATACAAACCACCACAGAATTCAGTGGCTTAAAACGGCAGCTGTCTACTTAGCTTTCAATTCTGCAATTTGGAAATGTAGGCTGGGCTCAGCTGGGTGGTTCTTCTGGTCGCTGCTGGGTTTTTTCATGCATCTGAGGTCAGCAGGGGCCTCTGTTTCTGTTGGCACCTTGGTTCTTCACCTCATTGGCCTTGGCTTGTTCATGTGGTGGTGGCGGGATAACTGGATGGTGCAGTATCCAGGACTAGTAGCCATGGGGAGCAGTAATTACACTGGCCTGAAGGGTCGAGAGATAGAACTGTCAGAGAGGTTTGCAGCCCCTGCATCATTGTAACCCAGCCAGGAGGGTGCAGGATGGAGGGGACCAGATACATAAACCTTTCTCTCCTGTCCTGCTCTCTCCTGCAGTGCCTCCTTGCCACTGCTGAAGGAGAGGGCGAGGGGCTGAGACTTTGGCTCCCAGGGCCCAGCATCACATGGGGATGGGAGCAGAAGGAGACTAACAAGCAGAAAAACTACTTTTAAAAAAAGTTTTTAAAATGCTGCACATTAAATAAAACACTAAGGCCACCAGTTTGCAAGCTCTCAGTTAAACTGTGTAACCTACACCAAGTTTTATTACCTCTCTTGTCCAACTTTCTCATCAGGAAAATGGGCACATCTTTTTTGTCTTAAGGTGGGAGGCAGAACACTGACAGAATAAAAAGAGATGGTTAACACGTGTCTGAGCCTCATTGAATCAGGGGTCAAGCAACATGTGTTTATTGATCCTGACTTTGTGTCTAGCCTATTCTCTCCCCTGTGGGAAAAGTGAGGCTCGGAGAGTTGGACTGGATCCAGGTCTGTGTGAGGGCAGAGCCTGAATGTTAGTTCTGGGGCCATAAATCGTTCCAGAGACAAATATTTGGGCACCTACTCTATGCCCAACATGTGCTATGATGCTGGTCTTGCCCTGGGGGAGCTCAGAACTCATAGGGGGATGACAACAAACAAGCAGTAGGTCAGTGCCCGGCATGTAGTAGGTAAATGCACTAATGAGCAGAGTGGACACAGAGAAAGATAATAACCACGAGGAAAATAAAGCCATATGATGTGACTGAAAGGGGAAGGGAGAGTTGCTCTCTCTCAAGAGGTAAAATCAGAACTGATTCCTGAGGATGAGAAAGATGATTAAAAAAACCAGAGGTAGAGGGAGGAGCCCCAGGTGCAGTAATGAGCTGAGCATGTGGCAATAACTGTGGAAAGGGGCTGAACAGGCAAGGGATCTGGGAAGTAAGGGTGGTGTCCAGGAGTCCCCTTTGTCTTCTGAAATCCCCTCTCATTCACTGTGGTCCAGCCTCCTGGCCTCCCTGCTGCTCCTTAAGCCCACCTGTTCCTTCCTACCCCAGGGCCTTTGCAATGACTCTTCACTCTGTGTGGAATACCCTTCCTTCAGATGTCCAAGTGGCTCCCCCATCACCTCCTTCAGGTCTTCTGCCTCCTTCCTGGCTTTTTCTTTATAGCTATAGCATGCATCACCTTCTGACTTATCACCGCCTGTACACTTGACTTAGTTTTTTTTTTTTTTTAATCCTTACCTGAGGATATGGTTGTTGTTTTTTAAATTGATGAGAGAGAGGGAGAGAGAGAGAGAGATGTGAGAGAGAAACATCAATTGGTTGCTTCCCATACATGCCCCAACTGGGGATTGAACCTGCAACTTAGGTATGTGCCCTGATCAGGGATCAAACCTGACATCTTTTGGTGCACTGGATGACACTCCAACCAACTGTCACCCGGTCAGGGCTAGGCCATTGATCTTATTCCTGGTCTCCCCCACTAGAAAGCCAGCTCTACTAGAGCAACTATTCTAGTCATTCTTGTTCCTGGCTGTATTCCCAGGGCCTAGGTCAGTGCCTGGCACATAGTAGGTACACAGTAAACATCTGTGGAACGAATAATACACAAGTTAGGAAGGTTTCCAAAGTGCTCCTCTATGTGTGGGAGAAGGTCCTCCCTTGGGCCCTGCACCAGCTCTTCTCCTATCTGCTGCTCATCACTTGCTCAGAGTTGCCTTGGTGCTTCCCGAGGAGCAAGGTTGATGGGCCTTGTCCTCCAGCATCCAAAGCACACACATACACACACAGAAATCAATATTGTTCCAACTTGTGATTCGATCATTTCCTTCATCCACAGGTGGCAAGTGTAGGCAGTTGCCCCGATTATGCCGGAAGCATAACAGGTGAGCCCATCAGAAATGGGGGCCAATGACCAAGCTGCCACCAGCTTACCATCTCCTTCCCTTCACAGAGCCTACAGAGTCACGAAAGCCCAGCCTGAGAGGGAAGACCCAGATGGAGCCAGAGCCAGGGCCGATGGCCTGAACCCCCTACCTTCCCAACCCTGCCTGCCCTGAGGGCTGTCCAGCTCCCCAGGCACTACCCTCACGTTGACCATTCTGTCAGAAAAAAAGTAAAGTACTGCAATCCTTGTCTGTCAATCTCTGGTCATTCATGTCTGGGAGTGGAAGAAAGTGGCAGGAGCTGGGGACAGGCTCCCTGAGGACTAACATGAGGAAGTCACACTAAAAAAACAAGGTAAGAGATATAGTGAATTAAGCCAGCCTGGGGTGAAGCAGGAGGGATGGGGGAAGGGCTGCAGGGGTTCTGGTCAGTGCTGGATTCTGCCCATGACAACTTGAGACCGCCGGCCTGGTCCATGCGCAGAGCCTGGTGTCCAATGTCAGCTCACCCCTAACGTTGGTAGGTAGCCTTGGTAACTGGGCTAGCACAGTGGAGGTCCCAGCACCATGGTGGCCCCCTTTTCTTCACAGTCTGGGTCCCTCCAGCATGCACACATGAGTGTTGGCCTTACGTGAGTGTGGACACCCAGCCTGCATATCTGAGCTTCATCCACACCACCAGCCCACAGATTGGGCTGCCTCTCGATTTAGGGAGTGCCCACCAAGAAGCCACATAGGCCCTGGAGTGGGCTCAGAGAAATTTGGATGGGGAACTGGGTCGCAGGTCCCAGAGCGTGGTTACGTCGAGCACAGGCTCCAGTGGGCACTTCCTGAAGGCTCCGGGGTTCTTCAGCCTGTGAGGAGGGGCTCAACCAGACTAGGCCAGAGCAGGCCTATGAAGCACAGGGCTTGGGGCAGAGGCCTCTACCCAGGTTTAAGGGTCTTCCTGCCAAAGGAAAGGGATAAGGTCCTGTTCACAGGTGGTTGCATGAGAGGATTTCACAAACCAGGTCACAGCCTATTCATGGATTACAAAGTCAGTTCAGTGGGCTGTGAGTAGCATAAAAAGAGTCTACACTAATAAAAGAGAAACATGGTAATTAGCGTACGACCGCTACCCTTCCCATTGGCTAATCAGCATATCCTTATGCAAATTAACTGTCAGCCAAGATGGCGGCTGGCAGCCATGCACTGAAGCGAGCAGGGAGGCTTGCTTACTCCAGTGACTGTGGACTCCAATGTTCCACGCCTGCCGCTGCCGGCCTCTCAGCTGCAACTCTAAGCAACTATGTACTATGTTGCAAACAAGAAGCTAAACAAAACCCCAGAAACCGGCTTTCAGTCAGCCCCGGACCGCAACATTGTATCGATGTTTTCAGCAGCTGAGGCCTCAGAGCTAAAGCTGGCCCAGAACAAAAAAAAAAAAAAAAAGAAAACAAGGAGCGGTTGGGAGCTTCAGTCACTTGCCAGCCGGAAAACAGCCCTTAGCCCCTCACCCAGACTGGCCAGGCACCCCAGTGGGGACCCCACCCTGACCCAGGACACCCTTCAGGGCAAACCAGCCAGCCCCTACCCATACACCAGGCCTCTATCCTATATAGTAAAAGGGTAATATGCCTCCCGGCACCAGGATCAGCGGAGCAGCGAGGCTCCCGGCACCGGGATCAGCGTGACAAGGGGCAGCGCCCAAACCCCCATGATCGCCCTGTGGCTCTGTGTGTGACAGGGGGCGGGGCCACA